CCTGACCCTGAAATGCCCCTCCCTTTTCCAGTACTCTTCCCCTCTTTCACCCCACCTGCCCGCAGTCCACTCACAAAATCTCTTCTATTTCGCCTAAGGAGAACTTGGCATTTCCCACTTAAAGCCTTCGTGATACTTAGTTTCTCTGGGTCTGTGAATTGTAGCATTGTTCTCCTTTATTTTATAGCTAATATCCAATTATGAGTGAGTGTGTAACATGTTTCTTTGTCTGGGTTACCTCTCACAGGATGTACTCTTTAATTTTATCAGGTTTTGCTACATCTGTTTTGATGCATTGTCCTAGATGCATGCATGTGTCCCATGATTTTTATGTCTTCTGATTATTTTTAATTTAGATTCTACTTTTAATTGAAAGTATTTCTCATACAATATATCCTGATATGTGAATAGTAAAAAAGAACTAAAGCAAAAGTGCAAGAAACAGATACAGAGACACATTCTCACACACAGAAAACCCATAAAAACAAAATTGGAAACCATAATATGTAAGCAGAAGACCTGTAAGGTTACAAAAGTGTTCAGACAAAGCATTATGAGATTAAAAAAAAAAGCTCCAAAAATACCATTGAATTTATTTTCTTTTGGCTATCTACTGCTGGACATGGGTCTGCCCTAAGTGCGGTTTGTAAAGGCGGTGAGATTCTGTTGGAGGAAACTAATTTTTCTTTTGCAAGTGGTTACAGTTGGGTATCAAGTGGAGAAGTTGCTACCTGTGCCATGTTCTAGGTCTGATCCCCAGCCCTGCATTCAAACAACTTCCCACACAACAGATGAACAAAAGCTAATTTATGTGCATAATGCATTTAAAGTTAAGCTGATACAGCTGAGGTGGACAGGGCCAGCTAATTCCTTTTGTGTTTGGAGATGTGATCTTACTCCTGCACAGGCTGGAACTCACAGCAATCCACCTTCCCTTCCCTCCCAAGGGTTGACTTTACAGACATAAACCCTCAAGCCCAGCTTCTTTCCTTTTCTTCTCCCCTTTAAAGTACATACTTTTTCTGTTAACTCCCCAACTGTTCCTCTTGGTAGTTCATGTGACCAGTTCCAGATGCTTCCCTAACTTAGAGAATGACAGTGCAGCAGCAATGCCAGGCCGCTTTGTGTACACAGTGGGGTCTTTTTCCGGGCCGCTTTGTGTATACAGTGGGGTCTTTTTCTGTTGTATCAGTACATTTATTTCTCTGTTGCATGTGATATTGTTGTCATATATATTAAATCTCGGTACATGTAAACATGACAGCATAACGTTACCAGTTTGGCTTTGAGGATTCCTATATTTTTCAAGAAAAACATAATGATAACAGCCTTTTATGTTTATCTACCATGTACTGTTTCTGATGCTCCTCATTTCTCTTTATAGATCCAAATTTCCATATGGTATCATTTCCTGCCATTTGAAAAACATCCTGTTACTTCTTGTAGTGCAGGTGCTCTGGCAACAAAATTTCCATTTTTAATTTAAAAAATCATTTCTTCTTTTTTGAGGAATTTTTTTTATCAGAATTCAAATCCTGAGGTGGCTGGTTTGTCTGTTTACTTTCAACATTGTAGAGATATTCCTTCTCATATGTTCTGGTCTGTGTCTCACTAACATTTCTCAAGTTGAAGGATCCGCTTTATCTTTCCTTTTACTCTATTTGAATATTAGGTTTTTTTGTCTGGCTTAGAAAATATTCTGATGTTACATTCAGGACACATTTCTCTTGCTATTTTTCCTGCCCCATCTTCATGAATTCTCCTTTAAGATTTCACTTTCTCCTTTTTAGATAGCTTTGGGTTGCCATTACAGTTCCGGAGAGTCTGCTTATTTTTCTCTATTTTCTCTATTTTTTTTTCTATTTTCTAAATTAGGTCATTTCTGTTGCTTCTGTTATAAAATTCACTTAACATTTATGCTTTCATCTTCATTTTCCAATTTTTATGTCAACTACTGTAATTTTCAGTTCTAAAATTTCCATCTAGTTTTAATTATAGTCTAAATATCTCTCCTGAAGCTGCCTGGCTGCTCATTCATTAAGAGTTTGTTTTATGTCCATCATGTAACTACTCCTTGATTGCCTAATAAACCAATCTGAAATTGAAATTATCGTAAGTCCAAAATGTATTTCAGCCCAGCTTGTAGCACCAGAAGACTTGAGCTGCTCCAGCTTTAGTCAGAAAAGCCTCTTTGTGCAATGGAGAGAGATATCCAACTACTCAGAGTACTAAGAATGAGATACTGGGCGCTAAGCCATAAATGGGACATCTTATTAATAACCCTACCATCACTAACATTCAGGGATTATTATGGAAGAGGCAATAGCTAGATATGGAGACAAGTGCTTTTTTTTTTTTTAAAAAAAAATCTCTTCTGGGATGACATGACAATTACAATAATGAACTCACAGCATCTCTGCTCACCTATTCAAGATATACTCAGCCAAAATTCCAGCATAGATGGGTAGATGATCTCCAGACCCCATTCTAAGCTGAGGATCTATTGGCAGTGATTAGTTGCTGGAAAAGACAGAATCTACCTTTATTGACGATACAGCCACTGGTAGCTTTCCCATGCTCCAGTGGATAACTACATATCCATGCACATATGGGTAGCAGTAACTGGATTTAGTAGGATATCAAAAAATAGCATGAAGTTGGGGAATGCTTATTAGAAAGATATAAAGAAGTTGGAGGGAGAAAAAAAAGTAATAGAAGTAAACATGATCCTATTTTATTATTATACATATGACATTCTTAAAAAAATAAATATATTTTTCTAAATGGATTAATTTATTTTGACTTAAAGTTCCACAGGGAGAGCCCTTAATGGCTGGGGACACAAGGCAGCAGGCAACCAGGTCAGGAAGCTGAGAAGGGACGTGTTCAACCACAAGCATAAAGCGGAGAAAGCAGCCTGGAAGTGATGAGGAGATTATATATAATTGGATGTCTGAGAGAGTCTTCAGAAGTCCGTTTTCATTCTCCATAGAGAGAGGATAGCAACAGATCCCCTTTTGTTTATAGAACACAGCAGGACATGGGAGCACTTTCCCTCCCTCTTCATCCTCCTCTGCCCAGAAGTCCCTCCTGTTTAGAGCGGGTTCCTCTGTAGAGCCTACCCTTTCCTTCAGGATTTTAAAAGTTTTCCCCCTTTTCACAAGAATTTTGTCCCTGTTCTCTCCCACGACTTGTGACTTTTTGATCATAGACATTTTTAAAAATTATTCAAAGATGAGAATTAGTGAGAAGGAACTCGCAGCAATGGTCAAACCTTTGTAAGAAAAGGAAAGTAAAAATCTCATTTCCTCATGAAAATTATCTTAGAACACTCCGTTATATGAAAGGGGCTTCAAATATGGATTAGAAGGCAGTGGACAGGAAGACTGTCATCCAGGGTGTGTGTCATCTCCCCTATGTTTCTGTTTCTGTGTTGGACACTGGAGTGGATCTTGGCCTCCTAGGACTAGCTCCAACAGTTCTTTCAACAGCTACCCCTGTAATTAAGCCACATATCAACAATATACTTTGTATTAGTGATGCGTAGAACAAAAGACTAAGAAAGACCGTCATATAATCTGATGAAATTTGGAGCTCAATAGATGTGTGGGTTTGTAATTGTGAAGGAAAAGGGAGAAGAGGAGAGAAAAAAAGAAGAAAAGATCATTTAGCAGTAACATCTTAATCAAGTCGGTGTAGGTGTAGTTTTTTTTGTTTTGTTTTGTTTTGTTTTTTGTTTTGTTTTTTTTTTTGGTTTTGTTTTTTTAAGAGTTCTAAATGCTGGGCAAAAGAAGTCATCTGAAGGAACAGACATGGTTGCAGAAGCCCCTAGGAAGCTTTTAAAAAGTAGAGAGTGTAGATGGGATTCGTCTCAGGCAGTCCATTCACTTAAGTGGGTGAGACTCCAGACATCCTCTTACTAAAACTTTTCCAGATAAATACACCACCAGTCTATGAATCGATGCCTAAAATCAGCATCTTTTCTGAGAACACTACTTGTGATAGAGGCTATTTTTCCTGTGACATATGATAAGAACAGATAACAACTGTGCCAGCAATTCTTAAAAGCCTGCCTCCTTCTGTCCCTCAGTGTTCCACCCTTCCATTGTTTTCCATCAGTATCTCAGTAGGACATTGACATGCCAATCAGAGATGTATATTTCCACACTCCTGCCATCCTTGGTGAGCCTTCCATACCCGCGCAGTTGGTCCATCCCCGGTGTAGCTAAGGAGATTTTGTTCTTTGTTTCTCTGCGTTTTTAGGTGACTCCGTGGGGCCATACACCAAACTTGTGTCACCTATTGTAGTTCCATCACAAGTACATTGTCCTTAGTGGCCTGCCTTTGTGTTCCTGCTTGCTTATCTTCAGTCTTCTGTCTCACATTCCTCACATACCATACACCATGCCAAAGGTTTCCCTCATTAATTTTGTTTCGTTTTTATTTTTCTTACATAAATAAATGCTTCATTTCATTTTGCTTTTCTGCCAGGCTTTGATTCCTCATTGCTTCCCTTTCCTCTTGTCTGTCTCAGACCATAAAGGGAACGCTAATGCCTTCTTGTCAGTTTACTTAACCTCCTTGGGCCTCCAGCTTTTGCACTATCCCTAGATAGCAAATGCTGGTATTTTAATTCCCAGGGTTCATCTTTAGTACTTAGGGAACATGTTAGATATGCACATCTCTCTTTAACCTTCTTTTTTATTTCTTAGACATTCTGATTCTTCTGGCTTTAGTAGCAGTTTAATGAGCTTGAGTCTCATTTCTGTAACTCCAAATGTACTTTGAGGATTAGCATCATTAAACTAGTTTGTTCTCCAAAACAGTTGTAGTAAGACACAAAATATACATTCAGAGAAATAGTCAAATCATGTATCGATCAAAGAAAAGGATACTCACTGCCATGAATTGTATTGGAACTCACGCCAATTTCAAGTATGTCCATGTGATCTGTGTCTTCCCCCATGCCATCTACAGTTTATTCATGCTTCCTCTTTCAGCTTATTGAAGTTGAAATGTGACGGATGGCTGCGTGGAACCTCATCATCCTTCAAAAAGTGCCCAAACTCTCCCAACAGTGGACAAAGCAGGAGGGAGAAGAAGACAGTTGAGTTTCAGTCCCATGTGGAGGATGACGTCCAATGGATGTGCCAGCAGAAAGATGCATGCAGACCCCAGAGAGGTGAGTGCAGTCTCTGCAGTCACAGAAAGAGAAGCCACTGAGGACAGCGAAAGGTGGCTGGTGTCTGCAACCCACTGAATAGCACTGGAGTTAGCATTTCAGATAAATGTATGCCTGCAAAGCTGTGGGTGGCACAACTACTAGATTCTCAAATCACATCTACATTTCTCTTAGAGTACTGGTATGAGCTCTTGTGTCCAGTTTGATCCCCTTTTTAAAAGCTAAATTGTACAGAAAATATGGTTATAGATATCAAATAATGTTCTCAAAGTAAGTAACAGGATGAGGAGTTGAACATAAAAACCTCTCTCCTGCAAAGTAAGGCCTCATAATAATGGTTGATCCTCAATTGACTGGTAATGTGGGGAATGTAGAAGGGAAATCATGAGCATCTTTACATTGTAATTAAACAGTCACCCAAGTCTAAACAAATAGCGCCTATCATCCCTTGAAGTGCTAATATATTATAATTAACCCTGAAATGAAAGAGGTGTTTGTTTCCTAGCTGCTCCTGAAATGACTCCTGGTACAGTCTATGCCAACACCCTTAAGGACTAGCTGGAAAGGGAATGAACTTCCTTGTGGATAGATGTACAGGAAACAGCCTCCTCTCCTCACACCCTGCTCAGAACTGTCACCTGATTTTTTATATATGCCCCCTTCCACCAGGAAAGCTCCTGTCCTGCAACCAACTGTTTGTAATCAGCAATGGGAAACCTTTACTTTGGTTCCCCTTATTCTTGTCATTGCACTTGAGAGAGAGAGAGGAGAGAGAGAGAGAGAGAGAGAGGAGAGAGAGAGAGGAGAGAGAGAGAGGAGGTTCCACTCAGAACTGGTCTAGTGTTTACTCCACAAGGGTTAACATGATCTTCTGTTGACTTGTCAGTACATGCATGTTGTGTGCCAGCACTAAAATGACAAAATAAAAAACTATGTAGCAAAACGGCAGAGGGATAAGTAGCATCGCATGTGTCACGGAGAGCTAGAGAGCAGCTCTTAAAGACACTTGTCAGGCACCACTGGGACAGCCTAGCTGCGTAGGAGGCAGAGCTCTCCCTGTCCCAGCTACAGAAGCCTGAAAGACTGGACCCCCCAAAAAAAATCAATTTCTAATTTGAAACAGGGTCACTTTTGACTGCCGGGAGTTCGGGAGCATCGCTCGTGCCGTGTCGTGTGCTGACATGGCAGCACTTTGTTGTACACAGTGAATCCCAGCAGTGCTGGTGGACGATCAATAGATCTAACTCGAGGGAGGCTGCTATTACACATCTGCAGTTTTCAGGAGTGCTGTCATTCACCCTTTCACTTGCCAGCAGCTCCCTCACCCGCTTCCTCCCTTTTTATTTAAAGGGCGGGAGGATGTAGTGTGATAGCGAAAATAATATCAAAAACATTATCATCTGTTTAAATGTGTGAAGTGTTTCAACATTTTAAGATACAAGAACCATGAAGGTTTTCTACTCATGGAAAAAGATCGTCTGGTATTTTCTTTCCTTTTATGATCTGCCTGATCACTGAAGACATGGAGTTGCCCCCTTGAGCAACTCTGCCACTGCAGAGCTGGTGTGTCCTGGCTAAAGACAGGGCGGGGCTATCTATTGCCTTGGCCTTTGCTACAGCACCCAGCCCAGTGGGAGAATTAACTTCCCCAGGTGTGCACCGTGGGTCTGGATGCCCTGGTGATTACAGTGCCAGTGACCCGGCACCAACTGCCCAAGTTACACTGCTTGGTTGCACCTCCTTAATTGCTTTCCTTTCGTTAGCATGACAGCATCCTTTAGTATACATTTCTTATATCTGTTGTTTCTTTTGTTGTTGTCATTTAATCATGAAGTGCTTACAGGACATTTACTGCAGGACCATTAATCTTTATTACCAGTCCCTCACTCCTTTATCTCTCCTGTTCTCCTCAACACTCTGCCAACTTTATTGATGCTAAACATATAAAAGAGACAGAGTCGACTCGAAGAGAAGCCTTATGATAACAAAATTGGGTACATTATTATAAAAATTAGCTTACAACCTAAACTTTCTCTTCCATCAGCACTTAGGATGTTATATTTTAGTTGGTTTTCACTGAGTTATGTAGAATGGGAAGATGTTACTTCAGAAAAATCTAAACTTGAGTCAACAGCTTTTAGAAAGCATGCACAGAAGAAACACATGCTCTTCATCTCTCCGTGTATAAGCAAACATTCTAGAACTACTTCTACCTGAAAAATGACTGCTTCTATGTCATAAGACCCTTGAAACTTGGGGCATTTTTCCTGTAACTCAGATGAACTAGCTGAGGCAGAGGCCACTGAGAATGAAAGTATTAGACCATGTGCTTGGTGCTGCCCTTTTTACACTCTGGCTGAACAGCACAGTACTTGATACCTGTTGCTGGTTCCTCTGTCACAGATCTCTGAACCCCTTTATATTTGTGCCAGATCCTCACTGCACTGCAGGTTAGCTGACACGGTTGGCCACTCTTCATTTTTCCTTTGGAGATGTTGTAGGCCCACCTTGTCTAACTACCATCACTGGTACAGTTCTCTGAGAGGATCTCAAGCACATTTGTTTTTTGGACAATGATTATTATAGACTTAACTGAAGTAAAATTAATCTCCAGTGCTGTAAGTGAGCCTGTGCTTGCAGTAATGACCCATGGTGGATGAACACAGGAGACAAAATAAATAAGTATGTTAGAAGAATCAAAGACCAGAAGTGGTTTCCATCCAGCCTCTTTAATCTTGGCATTGGAGAGGAATGAGAGACAGCAGTCTGGGAATCGTTCTGAGCTTTGGCGGAGAGCAGTGCAGTCTGAGGCCGGGGGATCGCTCCTTCAGGCTGAGCATTGGTAGAGGTGAGAACTCTAGTTGCTGGCTGCTTTGCTTTTCTGATCTTCTGGGTTTTTATTATTTGTGCTACAATCTGCATCTTATATTTAATAATAAGAAAATAAACTGATTGTCAGAAGTGTGAACTAAAAGATATGCTAAGCATCGATTTATCCACAGCACACAGAAAACAAGCACACTAGAGTGCTATGAATGAACCCAAACACTAGAGTAAATCATCCTACCTGGTTCACTAAAAAAAGAACTAAAGTTTAAGAACCTATCTTTAAGAGTTAATCTTGCTGTAAATATGGGATATTGTCATTTAAACCAAAGCATCTATATTTCCCATTCTCTGTAATTGAAAGAAATTCCCCAAAATACCATCTACTTTACCTGTTTGTTAATATGTCTGAGGTCTTCTGTCACTAGACAGTAGCATGTATGCCTCTATGACTTAGAACATAGCTAAACACATGTAAGTTCTCATTATATATTTGTTGACTGAATTAACATAACATTAAATATATTGTTCTTCTTCTTTCCCTGTTTCATTTTCCAAAATTAAGGACCTAATCAATTTGACCTTTTGACCCAGCACCTGCAATGATTTAGTGATTTAAGCAAAATATATGCTTACCCCGTCCGATTCCTTACAATGATTGATTGCTAATGTCAAAGAGAAAGATTACAGTGAGGCCTTAAAAGAGCAATGCCCGAGAAGTCAAGAAAACAATGGTCATTATTGCATTTCCTTTTATTCTAATTGAGGTTTAATTATACACAACACAGTTGCTCGGGTCTTAGAAATACAGCTTGATATGTCTGACAATTGTTTTCTACCCATGTAATCACCAGTTCATATGTAGAACATTTACCTGATCACAGAAGTTCCCTGTGCTCTCCACTAATCATTTCCCTCCCTGAGGCTTGTGGGGGTTTTCTTGTCACTGTGACTTCTCATGGTCCTTTTTGTATATGCCTCCCAGGCATCTCTGCTCTTTCCAAAGATACCATCACTTGAGTGATAATACCGTAGTAGGACCACTCATGTGAATTCTTTGGCCCTTGATGACCTCTTTGAAGTTCCTGTCTCTAAGTACAATGAGTTTTAAAGAGTACTGGGGATTAGGGCTGGGATATAGCTAATCCATAACTTCTTTCTTTCCATAATTATGACTTATTTTTGTTGTTGATTGCCTAAGGGTTCCATTCCAGAGAAAACAATCTTGGACCCACTAAGTATGATCTAAAGCCTGGTGGTTGAAAAAAGTCCCTCCTAGATGGTTGAGAGTCTTTATCATAAATGAGTGTATTTCATTTCTTGAGATGCAGGAAGCAGAGAAAGGGACAGAAAGGAGTCAGGGCTGTAATAATATGTCTTTCACTGCCATTGAATTACTTTCTCAAGCTAGGTCTCATCTTCTAATTTTTCTAGAACCTCCAGAGATAGCATCACTAACTAGAAACCAACCTTTCAATGCATGAGCCTTTGTGGGAACATTTCCTACCCAAACCATAATAATCATGTTTTTTCTTTCATCAATTTGATTATTTGCTAACTGAGATACTGGTAATACCTATGTAATTGTAATGATTATGTCAAATTTTGTTATTATAACATGTCAGTGGAAACAGTGGCAATGATAAGCCCAGGTGTTTCGCCCCCTGAGAAACACTGCACACCATGCAATCAAGAATCTACCTCATCAGAACTGTGAAGAAAGGAAGGCTTCTCAGAAACACCATAAGAGAACTTTGTGGATTCTTAGCATTGATGAAACCCTGCCCTAGGATGACTTCTATCCTAAGATGTCAGCCCAAGCACAGACAAGAGACCCTGATCTCTGGGGAAGCAGAATCCTGGGTTCAGATGCCAGGAGTCTGTTTTGACTTGTCTGTAGATTCCCTCAGATGCTGACACAAACCCTGCTTTCTGTTCTGCCTAATGCCCAACTTTCATAGGATATTCTGTGAACACTTTGAAATGAACATGGTGCTGCCTCTTAGGATAAGAAAGTAACACTGAGACAAAAATATACAGTAAAAGTAAAGAAGCTATAAGACCTAGATAAAATGAACACACAAACTACCAGACTCTAACAATAATTGGTCTTTAAAACTCTCCTAAGAAGAAGCCAGAGCTGTATATCTTCACAAATGAATTTCAACAACTCT